CAAGTCAGATCTTTAGCACGTGGACATGTTTTAACTTAATAAAATAATCTAACGGCCCTGCCGACATGATTCTGCGCTGTGGAGGTCCTCTAAAATATACAGGGTGCTCTCCTTAAATGTGCAATTGGTGAAAAAATGGTGCGTTGATTATGTTCCAGCGAAAATCCGACGATAAGCTGACTCCATGTGTGGCAAATAACGAGCGTCCAAAAAGGTTTCTCGCGTATCTACAATTATCACGCCTTGCTTATCTGCAGCAAGTTGTACAGCGGGTTGCGGCAATCTTTTACTATAAACATTCACTCAGGATCTCTTTCAGACTGGATCGAAACGTGCTCACTGAGATCCTATTTCGGTTCCACCGTTCTCTAGAAGTGGTGTATCGGGGAGCCCTTGCATCTGATGAGACTCAGTCTTTCTTCAGTTTGCTTCGAATTGCAAATAGGTACAAAACCAAGTCTTCACTATACTAGGCTAATTAGGTACCACGTGCAAATGGACTCCATCCACTCAAGCATTTTCTCATCGTCCAAATTTACAGTTGTGGGTCCGGTTCAGAATAAAGAGAAAGGTGCTTGAACTTGACAGTCGCGAAGTCTCACTATCTTGGATCCTCCGTGAATGTGCTTCTTCACGTGAATGTTGAAGTAACAAAACCATGAACGGTGGCTAGTCTTCCCTTTGCAGAATCAAAATTAGAAGCTGGCTACAGGGTTAAAGTGAGATGGTAGGAGTTGACTGCAGAGCGGTTGAAAGCACTGGCTACACATCCTCGATGTACGGATTTTTCACGCATGGTTATCGGGACGCTGGCCGTTTTGTGTCTTCTAGTTTCAGTAAACTGATATCACAGGTTAGGGGCGTCCTCCGCTCTTCATCTGTCGTCCTTATTCAAGATTGTTAGTCCAGTGAAACTTCACCTTAAACTAGAATCGCGATATGGACCACAACAAGTACGCTTTTTTGAATATGTTGATGTGCAATAGAGAGCAATAAATGTACAGACTGCAGGTGGATGAAAATTGAGAAAAGAACTCAAAAGAAAGGAGCCTTTCAAAATTGAAAACAAGAAAAAAAGAATGAAGAAAAGAGGACATAGTAAACAGTAACAAGAAATAGTAGCCGAATTAGAAGAGTATGTCGAAAGAGATGAGCCAAACAACAGCGATTATAAGCAATGTGGTGGACATGTGTCTGCACGAAGTCATCATCGATTTCAATCGTTGCGGGACTCATGGGCACGTGCATAGTTGGAGCATGATAATGGTATTGTCAACCTCTTTCATACGAAGCACGATATAGCAGAACATTTTGTAAAGACAAACATTTAATGGAAGTAGCATCATGAATTAAGAAACTGTCAGTATTTTTATACCAACTTGTTGAGTCAATGAGAGGGTATTTTTCAAAAGCGATCAGACCCAGCCTCCAGAAGTATTGAGCTCACATCTGTTTTTTTACATCTATCATTCAAATCAAGTATAACACCTTCAAATTGAACACGATAAGTTTCTAAAGATCCAAAGCAATGGCGCATTTCTTTGTTAGTCCAAAATCATAAAAACCCCTGGTTTGCTAGATCAATTTTTTGGCGTCTGTACTGTGTACTACTGTATACCTTCAACTGCACATGAAAATTTTCCCTCAAAAATGTGCAGAATAATGTCATACATTTTGAAGCTGAAAATGTGATCTTGAACATACAGCAAGCGTTTCAAATGGAAAAACAATCGCTAACGCCTTCTACTACGAGATCAGATCAGGGAAAACGATACTATTATAGTCCAAGCTAACTGTAGGTTTTTGTTTCAAGTCACTCTTGATGAGGATAGAATTTGAAAAAACAATTTTGGTGAGTAGCTGAGCTAACTTTGCTTATCTATATATATATATAAAACTCAAAAATTGTCAGTTTGAAGGGTATGTGCGTTATAGAAATGCGCGCCGCTCAACCAATTCAGCTGAAACTTTGCACACATATGTTTTCGACCCCTGCGCAGATGATAGGCTACTTTTTGCGGCGATTCGTTTGGTCCTTCTATCGATTTATTGATTTGTTTACGTTTTTCTAAGGAATTGAAGGCTTATCATGTTCAGTCAAGCATTTTCCCATAATCTGTAAGGGAGGGCGGTGAAGCTCATTTTAACCTCAGGATCACGAAGATGCGGTTTGAAGCGGATGTCCCTAGGGTAAGTCATCCATAACATATAAGGGGGGGGGGGGCTTGCAGTGCAAGTGAACAGAACGAGGCCCCGGCTGGACCGGGAAAGCCAACTAGTAGGTTCTAGAATCCTGCTCGTAATAACTAATGCTCATTTGCTTTTGTTCTGTTCATTTTGTACATTGGTACATAGTTTCTTCATAGATGCTGTCCTAAAAAAGAAATGAAAAGTTTCTTTGCAGAGGGGTAGCTACTTGCATGGCTCCGAACCATTTCCTTCATCAGATAGAACAACAGTCGATGGCGTGCCCACCAACCAATTCTGAGCCCATTCGTTTTCAAAATCTCTTTAGCTAAAACGCGTTCTCATACCAAGTCTTGTGCATAAGCGTTTCTCACGAATCTGAAACTTTGCGGTTACTGATAAGTGCAGCAAGAGATAAGCAGTCTTAAAGTATGGATCAGTTACTTCGCAGTAAGGTTCGATCCTTGTAGAGGGTATTGTGTATGGGTACAGATCTCCATCAGTATAATAATTTTTTTTATTCTCGTTGACGCTAGCTGCTAGTAACCTCCAATGGTTGAAGAATATGAACGATCAAAACATCAAAGAAATGTAGTTATCGCCTGTTTTTTGGCTTGGAATATGAGCCTGTCATAATTTTCACATAAGCATCACAAAAATAATGCTTCGAGCTGAACTGCGATGGAAATCTGAAGCTCTCTGTATGCCTAAAAGGCAGTGGATCAGCAGAATGGACCCTTCTCAGATTTTGGTGGATTCAGGTAGTAGACCCCCTAAATACACTGTAGCCCAAACTCCATCCGCCAATTCACTCGCCAAGTCCTGAAAAAATGCGCTTCAAAACTCCATCAACCCCGCCCATTCAATGGAAAGTTGGTGGAGTTTTGAAGCGCATTTTTCAGGACTTGGCGCATGAATTGGCGGATGGGGTTTGGACTACAGTGTATTTGGGGGAGCCTATCACGTAAATCCACCAAAATCTGAGAAGGGTGCATTCTGCTGATCCACTGCCTTTAAAGGTGTAATCCACACTTCAAACGAGTAAAAAATTGCGCCATTATAGTCCCTTCTCGCTCGCAGAATACCAAAATATCGCTTTGAAGCTTGCAAAGGAATTGATTCAATGCAACAACTTTTTATGCATGCACGAATTAATTTCGGCATTGTCACCATCCGTTGTGTGAGCGTAAATCATGAATATACGACCACCCTTGGAAGCTCAACAAATATTTATCTGTTACATTACGACCTTCTGAGTTTTTGCACATGATGACCGGAATGTCTAGCCTGAGTTTACATCAGGCAGAAGTTTTATTAAATTTTTTTCCTCTTATTTCTGTACAACTCCAGGAACTCTTTCAAACCTCAAGGCAGCGCACATCAGTTTTTTTCTTCTATACCTTCGAAAATTTCGCTTATCTCTTCCAAATATTTTATTTGTACATAAGCTAATCATGTAACTTTATCAATAGCAACACTTCTTTACAGCTGAGTTAGAAACTCAACTCACATTCGTAAACATTTCGTATGTTTTGAGATAGAATTTTCGTCTTAAAGTGCGATTTACGAAGAGTTAAGATTCATCTGACCAGTTTTATGATAATCAGGACGGCTTTTTCGGTCAATAAAAGACTTTTGTTGATGTAACCAACTTACTTGTCCTTTGTACTTTAGCTCACAATATTACAAACGATTCTCGACTTTGTGAAATTTTTCCAGGGGGATGTGATTTGTGTCAACATTGTCGACATGTCTTCTCTGTAGTTCATCATGCTGCATGAAAATCCTAGATTCCTGAATAAGTGCCTTTTTACCGGCCCGTTTTGTGACGCTACATTCTGTAAAGCGTTAAGACTCTCTTCAAATCACTTTCCACTGCTGTACTCTCACTTTTATTCGTAGCTTTCACCAGTATAAGTGTCCCAAACATGTGCTCGTTGTTAATAATAGACCTTTTGTTTTGCCATCCAACTAATCAATCTTTCAACAAAAATTTACGGACAGCTTCAGTGTCACAATCTCACAACAACATAATTTTTCTTACAAGCCATTTCACCAGCTGCTTGAAATACTCAGTGATAGATGTGCTTTTTGGCACGTGGAAAAATTGTAGGAAAAATGAGGAGGAACTTTTTATGTTTCATATCGAGCGTGCATATTTTGGAGAAAACCATGTTGATGAGAGCTTGTAGCAGCAAGATACGGATATTTTTAACGATTGGATGACAGAGCTATTAACAGCAATTGAAGTAAGAGAATTTTTACATTGTTTTTCTTTTGCATTCCTACAGTTATCGCAGAATCAAACTCTAACCCAAGTGAAACAATAAAAAATTCGAATTCTATATCAAGCTAAGTTATTTATTTTTTGAATAAACTCAAGGTGCACCAAGAAGAAATGAATAGAAAGAGAAAAAGAAAACATGATAACAGCCAGTCTTACGTCAGCGACACAATTAAACTTACTAAATGTTATGGACAAGGAACTATACGTGGAAATAAAAAAATCAAAATCAAAATTCCGTTTCGTTCCCTCCCTTAGATGGAGATGATAAATGTTTAGTAGCCCTTCCCGGAATTCCTCGGTAAGGAAGGAGGGCTGTTTCCTTTATCTTGAAAACGGTTAAAACACTTACTGTACGGAGTCCTTACATCCTTCTACTTGAGTGTAGCGCGTCTCTTTGACTTAAAAAAGTTATGGGAGTAGGAAGACGAACCAGGAAGCCTTAGACCGATCAAAGTCGGGAGATAATCGCTATTTGAGCAGACCGTGATTTTAGGTAGTTTTGGCCTTGTTGGCACAGCCGATCAGTGCACGAAGATGTTCACCTTGCCTGTCCACTCGGATGCACGAGACAATCATTCGTCGCTGGCAGCCAGTTCAGCACTGGACACAGCCGCTATTGATCGGGGGTGCCGAGTGCGGGGGTAAAGAGACCCCCGAAGAATCATCCCCCGACAGCTACAGCTAACAGTGAAGGTCGTCGGTGGTGTTGGTATTCGCCAGCATGAAGGACCGGGCCGATGCCGAACTTCTGCAGGAGCAGCACCGCGCAAGGAGGGAGCTGGAAAAAGCGGTTCGTTTCAATCTGTGTTACACTGCAAAATTGATGCGAGTAGATTTACGCGCTAATGCTCTCAGCTGTTTCTGGCCGATCAATGCGATATGTTATAAAAACAAAACAATCTTGGCAAATCCGAGATATGCGAGTTTTCACGTCGATTTTTTCTTACCGACTGAGTTACGTGCTGTCACACAAGGTTTACCGTGTTCGATGTTTTCGTCGAAGCGAGACCCGCGCGGCTGGACGCTTGCATCTTTGAAAACTCCAGTTCTCTTGTCTGTCACATTTTTATCGAATATTTTTCAGAAAATGAAACTGGCTCCTTCTGTGTGGCCGACAGCTATTGCTGCTATTATTGCTATCTTTTCTTGTCTAGCCTTTAGTATTTTCTTTCATCGTGGTTTGAGTGGATTTTCAAAGCAGGTATGTTGCAAAGTTGGAGTTTTTCGTATAGCAGTGAATGTTTATTACTTCTTGCAATTGTTAGTATTGCTACCGTGCGCTTATCACATTCTTATCAAAAGAGTCTCGTTTGTTCTCTTTTGCTACATGAAGAATTCTTTCTCGGAAAGTCCTTGTCTAGTGAGTTTTTTATAACTTCATTTTTTCGTAATGATTACAATATCTGCATCTTGGCAACATTCGAATTGAAGTTTATACGTTCATCAGCTATAGAGAGAGTGTTTTTATTTTGCGGAAAAAAGCGTTTCAGTATTCGCAAGAATTAATACTATTCATAGCATCTGAATGGATGTGTGACATGATAGTAAACAGTAAACATATGGCTGGTGTATCTGAACTATTATACAACCTTTCAAACTATTTCGCTTTCGATGAATTGTTGACAGCGAAATACTGTGGTGATTTGGTGTATTCTAAAAATCTGCATATGCAACACAAATGAAAATAATTTCTAATGTGCTGACTCCTTTTTATATAAGCTTCTTGCATCCTTCATCTACCCATTATAAGATTATTCCTGTAGCAAGTCGAATCCAGCAGCTGCCTTCGAAGTTTACAGAACTTAATATTCAAAATACATTATACATCACTCGAGCTTCCAGCATGTAGATGATGCATCTCTTATTTCTAGAATGTTTTTTAACCTGGCACTGTAAGAATCAATTTGTAAACAAAAAAAAAGAAAAAAATAATTTGACACAGGACTATCTGAACGTTTTTAGTTCCATGTTCTCAAGCAGATGCAAATTGTTCGTGACTATATATTTCATGCTGTTACCTAAAATTCACTTAAAAAACTAAACCCTTTCTGTGCTAAAGAATCTAAGCACTTTGTTTTTCTGCCGAAACACTAGGTACCCAATACTTTTTTAGATAAATGCATTCATTTCCATTGGAGAACTCGCCTCATTCTGGTTGCAAGCACTGTTATTTCTTATCACTGCAAGTGTCATAATCTACTTATTCTTTGCCTATCTCGCCTCAGGCAAGTTTTACAGATTTTCAAAATGTGTTGATGGGTCACTAAGTGAGCTGTAACAGGAATTTCTATTTCAAACTTTTTCGGGCAATGCATTTAAATGAAATTATTTAGCACGTGTATTTTCGAATGCCCTCCGACTTTGTGGTTCTCCCTGCCTTCTGTTTTTTTCTTCATTCACTTCACAAGGATTTCTCTTGCTTTGGGTTATAGTAACGTGCTTCATATTTTCGATGTTCCTGAGTAAGTTCTTTGTTTTCATTGTTTTGAAGCTATATTTAACACCTTTCATTGCAGTATACTTCCTGTTCATTGGCGGCATATATTCTTTTTGTGCTCTGGTCGATCAGCAGTGTTTCGATTTCAAAGTACTGATACCAGCCATAGTCAATCGGTTCAGCAACAAGGTTAGTCTACTCATTATACTGTCTTGATATTTAACAACTAACTAAATTTTTTGAAGAAGATGGACATGACATTCTGTGCAGAAAAAAAGGAAATCCTATGCTCAAAGAACAACAACCAAGTGTGGAACTTTTTCCTAGCTTTCATACTTGCTTTGGTAACTTTGGGAGGTAAGAACTTGGACACCTTTGGTGATTTATTGATGGAGATGTTTATGCTTCAGCTATGCTTTTCCTGCAAAACGCTGTCGTTTACGGTTTGGGAAAACGGCAAGCAGCAAAGGAGCGAAGACAGAGAGAAAGGCACGAACAAAAGGAGAGATACGAGATGAAGGCAATAAGCTGATAGCCGTGCTTAGGTCTTTGTACATATGTAAATACAATAAATCTTATAGAACCTGTGAAATGGCGCGCGTAATAAGTTTTCAGGTGATTTCAAAATGTAAAAACTTTTAAATCGTCCAAAAACAGGCAGCTTGTGGACTTCAGTAGCAAAAAAATCCTTACGAACCATAACAATCGGTCTAACATGTAGCAGTCACACAAACATTTATAAAATGCTTGCTGCATTCTTATGGCTAGAAATTAGTAAAAAATGGTAGACGAAATGGCGATTTCAACTCCTAACATTCTTGGATTTCTTATTTGGAGTATAATCAAGAATTTACTGTAGCGCCTCTTCGGATATCATATTCCAGCATCGACAATCCTAAAAGCGACAATATTATTTGGGCAGCCTGATAATCACCTTAAATAGCCCATTTATCCGAGGGCTGCAGTTATAGAATTGCTTGCACATTGTTGGTGACTTTTCATTCATTAAAAAAGTTTGATGAGGCCACGGCTTCTGGAATGCAAGTTCCCCAGGAAAGAAAGTACAGGATGGTTTGACTTCGCGAGCGAAATCTTTCTCTGATTCTTCTTGTCGAAGCTTTTCTCCTAACAACATAGTGTCAAAAATCATTTTTTAAGTGTTTTCATTCTATTGTAGAATGAGTTCTCATATGTAAGTACAAACACATGTCAGACTTGAATTGAAATGCAACTATGAACTCCACACCTATTCACTAAAGCAGACAACACCATGACAGTTCTAAGAAGACCACAATTCGTTATTATTGTTATGTTTACTTCAAGCAATTTGTAGCAGTTGAGGAAAATACTGATATAGTGCAGATAAATAGAACATGAGACTGATGCCAAATCAAACTTCGTTTAATTCTGTGATTTTTCGAATACTTTTAGAAGCTCTCTAGAGTTCTAAGAAGACCACACTCACAAGCTGCAAGAAACTATTTTTCAAAGGGACATGGTTTTACCAACATTTTGCATACCAAGCATGATGTCCAGGTCCTAATTTCTTGGAACTAGCACGTAAAAAAGCTGTGACTTTCCTTGGAAGATTCCCAAAGTCACTTTTGGTTATGATGATCAATGGTAGAAAAACCATGTCTGGAAACTTCCTCCTATCTAGCCTTTCTCAAAGCATTACACCATAGCTTGAGATAGAGTGTAAATTGAGAAAATTACAGACCTATGTGTTTATAGAATGAGTATTACTGGTCGAGTGTTTTAGAAGTATGACCACCAGAAAGGATAATGGTTCATGTAGGTTTCTGATGCATCAGTCGTTAGTTTGCCTACAAGAGTTATATATAAAAATAAAACTCAAGAAAGAAAATTTGATAGCATGTACCCTCTAAGATGGTTTCCAAAAAAGTATTATTACCATTGACTTGTGGAACCATATTTTAACTATCCCTCTTCTTTGTGCGAGTGCATACGCAGCGTAAGATTTACGAGGGCTCAGTTCTAGTTTCGGTCAGATTCACATTGCTTTGTGGACATCGACTTGCTAGAAAGCAGAATATAACCTGTTCTGCTCAAAGCCAACACTTAAGGCACAGTTCTGTGTTAACTTTAGTGAAGTGAATCTTTACTTTCTCGTTGAGTATTTCTACTAAGCCAAATGTGCACCATTCACTCCTACTTCTCGAGAAAACTGATTGGCACCTCTACTTACATGACGAAACGAATTTTTGTTGTAATGCTTAGTGATCGATGAATTAGGCTGTCCCGAAAGTTCTGTCGTTTCATTTTTGAAAAATCATACTACCTCATTATATTTTTATTAGAAAGAGTTGGTCTTTTGCTTGCGAATGCTGTTTTGCGGAGCTTCTGCAACTCATTGACTGCAGAGATAAAAATAGAAAAAGAAGACCATATAAACTTTGTTCATTTTAAGTGAGGTCGCCAAGTATCGGGAACGCTGCAAAAAAATCTGAAATCGTCAACACATAAGTTTTTTGACCTACTCTTCTCAACCTTGAAAAATCTGTCTTGTTTGGACTTCCCTGTGAGAAGTTGCGAAATACCAGTTTACTGCAGAAAACCCCGAAATTAATTAATTTGACATTTTCTAGAAGATTATAACTTTTTAAAGAGACTTCCAAACAGGACAAACTTTCTACAGTAAGAGCAAAAAATCTATGCATCGACGATTTCAGATTTTTCTGCAGCGTTAGATTTTTGGCGATCTGAGTTAAAATGAGCAAAGTTTATATTGTCTTTTCTTCTATATTCATCCCTACACTCAATGCGTAGCAGAAGCTCAGCAAAACAGCTTTCGAAAGAGAAAGACTTACTCTTTCTAATGAAAATATACTGAAGTAAATCCGTTGAGACAGCGCAAAGTTACGACTTTTCAAAAATGAAACGGACTTTCGGGACAACCTAATACATAGAGCATTTCTTTTCAATGGTGCCCGAAGAAAAGAGCCGACATTGATGGAGATAAACTACGTAAGACTGCGTCAGCGAAAAGCATTGTTGACCGTGCTTAAAATATCGTTGAGGAGTATTCGAAGCCAAATCAGTGGAGAACCTATTATGAGCTGCACCGTTTAATAATCATCTTAGTGCAGTTTTGAAAATCCTCTATTTAGCTGTTATTTTTCTTCTTTCATCGCCAAAATCTAAATTTCACTCCAATTTGCAATCTCTCAAAATTGGTTATAATCCAATCGACCGACAGTTTCAACATGTTGCACAGACCTTCACGATCAATAGAGAAGAAAAGGCTCAGGGTTAAGTAGCTTTTCCGTCGAAAAAAGTAAGCTACAGCCAGATTGTTTACCTTTCAGTCCAGTCTGATATGTGACACTGATCATTTGATAGCTGCCTCTGTACTTTCATCATTTTCACTTGATAGCACCTTGCACTCAGTTAGATACTTCAGTTTCTCCTATTCGCAAACCGAGGGAGCGAGGGGGGGGGGGGGAGGATTTGCGCAGCTGGCTTTTTATTTGCAAATTATCATGTTACAAAAATTCCAACTAGTTTTGCAAAACAGTTTTCTGGAAAACTGGCTGCCTCCACTCCCTCTTTTCTGGAAGCTGCAAGGTCTATGGCTCGCATTGTGACAAAATTGTTTTATGCATTTGATAGATGAAATACTAGACACATACAAAAGAGTCTTAAAATCTTTTCTCAGAGTTTTTGAACTCTATCCGGTTTCGGGGCTAACAAGGGAAGGATACTAACTTAGATTCGCCTTTCAAAATGTGACACATACATTTGGAATCAGCTTTGAACGCTGATTCCAATCATGCTAGTCCTTGCTGCTTAGCATTATTCCAAAGCGAGTTATGGGCTTGCATTTGTGAGTTACTAACAAACTTTTGTAAGAGGCGTGTAGATAAAAATCTGCTCGAAAAAAGTGTTAGGATGTTAAACTAGGATCAGATTGATTTTTCCGATCTTGAAAGGAAGCATTATACAATTGCAAAATCACCTAGACGTCGACACCGTAGCATCAGCAGGTCGAGAAGCACGCAAACTTTGCATAGAAAAAATACCATAACTCGCTCCGAAATAATGCTAAGCAGCTAGGAACAGCATATTTGGAATCAGCGTTCCAAGCTGATTCCAAACATATGTGTTTCATCTCAATAGTCGAATCTAAGTTAGTATCCTTCCCTTGTAAGAACTATACCGGTAGTGCCGCCTCCCTGGTATATCTGCAGAAATTACTATAAATTGGAGGCACTCTAAAATAGAGGTAAGAGCACGACGAACAATATAATCATAAAAATCAAAATCTTATGCTCAAGGTCTCTGCATTTCACAACACCTCACTCCTTTTCTTCTTTTGAAATCTTTTTTTCTTCACGAATATAAGTGAACTGGACGTTATAAAAATGTTATAAACATTAGATCTCGCTTTGTAATGCAAACATTTGCCACGTGTCAATGCTCGAACGGAATGATAAGACATATAATGCTTCGATGGCCTGATGCATCATAGTGCTAATCTTCATTTTGAAGCGATGACTTTGACGGTAATTGGTGAAGCTTTGACTGATAAGTTATCGCAAAGGTAAGGCGAAAAGTTTACTATATTGCGTTCCTCAAAAAGCGCTAAGCACTCTAAAAAGGAAAATTCTATTTTGTTTACTAGCAGTTTCACTACTATTTATAGTCACAGAATGGGGTTTTTGTTTCTTGATAACAGTGTGAACAAGGCAATTCAAAGTCTAGGTAAAAGAAGGCTTTTGTATGCGTAGGAAATTGAATTTATGGACTCGGAAGGCTATGAGAAAATGCTTAGAGAGAGAATTAAGAAATGGAAAACACTAAACATCATTGGCCATTTGCTAGGGCGAAACGGAAAAAAGCTCTCATCACTCTTATCAAACAGCTGTCTTGATTGGCATTCCTATCAAGCTGCGACGCATTTATGTCACGTTTCGTTGAATTATTGCGCAACAATTACATGCATGCTATTTTCGAATGTTCCCTTATAAAAAGGTTTTGTGGCGAGAGATAGTTTTACTTATCGAAACTATTCAAAAAAAGCAGCTAAAAGCGCTATTTTTAGTAGTAAACGCTTTTAAGTAAAGCTGAACGGTATGGTTCCTTTTACACACTAGTTAGCTTCGCTTATGTGCACTCCAAATTGCGGTTCACTTTTGCCGGCAGAGAACCGCTTCCTTACCGCTGGTTAGCAAAAACCGGTATTGGCTAGTCCCAGAACTTTTAGCCAAGAAGCTACAGATTTCGAAAACCAGACCCCGAAGTTTTTCACTGAGTCTATGACGCGCTTGCTTGAGCTCTACTCCTTAGCGTAACTCAAGATTACGTATCCAAGGAGATACGAACACATCCATAACTCCATAAGAATCGTTGACCGTCTCTATTTTTCGCATACTTTCTCTCGTTCCCCTCTTCATCGATCCCATTTCTCCCACCGTTCACTTCAGTGTAACACCCACATTGAACGAATGCGTAATTTCACTTTTGCCCCGGCAGTTGTGATCAGTTTCTTGTACTTGACTCCGCCCTAGCCTTTATTTCCTTATTTTTTCACAGCTGGAGGGGATTTGGATATTCAAAGTAGTGCATGGAGCTTACTCTGTTTGCACAGCAGACGAACAAAAAGTCCAATAGGTGCTATGGGACATGAACGCCACATAAGCAGTTTTGATTTGATTCACCTTACTAATCAATCATTTTTTTGTTTAACTGCCAAAGACTGCGATAGGGATGTAGTACGCATTCGTTCATAGTAGCCGTCAATGCTGATCTTATCGAATGTTTGTCTGCACTATACGCTCACATTTCACCTCATTTCACCATTTCTCAACCCCGTACTGCGTCAATACACTACTGGTTGGCAGTTTTATGGCCGAGTCGTCTACTACACCCCCGCGACAAGCTGCGAGTTTTTTCTAGAAGTATGCGCGGTCATGCTCTTCAAGCGTTTTTTCTTCTTGGCCATTCATATTTACGACATGCATCGAAACTTGTTCTTTACCGTTCGAAATCATGAAAAGCTGAGTGCGCAAGTGTATGGGCAACCGCTCATAGCACATCTGGATCCTGTTGAATATGCTGGAATTTTTATTTCTTACTGCCTACATCCCATATCTGTATCATTCCAATTTTACTTGCTTCAATTTCGTTGCTCCACAAAAATTCTTTATACTACGCTGTAAATGGAATCTTTAGAGACCGCACATCCTAAAACATCTTGTCGTCCTCTCGCTTTTGAACATCGTCACCAAAGGATTTCTTCTCGTCTTGTATTCATAGTGAGTCATTCGGCAATGTGAGGAGGAGGCATCAATCATGCCCGACCAGTTCTCAAGCGTCGCCAATAACTTTTCAAAGGTGAACATTTTGTATGTAATCAAAGGGTGTAAGTGGATCTCGTATGTAAACACAGTTCTTCCATACTCGAAAAAATTCTACGAGCCTGTATTCTGTAGGAAAGCTCAAGTATTTCAGCAAAAATGGTATGATACTCACTTGGAATTCATTGATGCATGTACGTCTCTTGCTTGGCCGGTGTCGCGTTTTGTCTACGTAGGAGATAAAGCGGGTAGAATTCATTGTGTCGACTGTGATGGGTGAGTCTGTCACTATTTATAGATTTTTGAGAAATATATAAAAGAGAGAGGAAGACACCGACAGGTGAGAGTTATGGCAGCGCAAAAAATGTTGGCAGAAAGGGGGTGAGTGGTGTGATGCGACCAATTTTGCAGAAAGAGTTTGTCAAGCCACGCCTTCAAAATAATGCTTAAAGTCTTTACAGATTTGATTCGAAAAGTTTGAAGTTTTGAAGGAGGCCTTAGTCTCGAGGCATTTTTTCTTACAATAATACATCACTTTCTGAATTGGAAGAAGAGCTAATCCGTACAATAACCATTCACTCAGATACTTTCATTGATCCTCACTCTGGAGGGAGGTGAGGGAGAGGAAGGATAAGAAGTTCTACTTCTTTCTTCTCTACTCATGAATGCTAAGATCCATCACTACCTAAAATAGCAGTGTGAGCGATAGCCTGAAATATCAATTAATTTCCTCTTGTCATTCCATTCTATACAATTATAACAGTCCTTGCATAATTTTATCTCACGCCTTCATAATATATATAAAATGTTCCAAAATGGCATTTCATTGCCTCTGATTTGTCGCAGTGCCTCCATCTTCCTAATTTTTCAAAATGTTATCTACTGCCTACTTGATCTCCATAAGAAAGTCAGTTTGCTAATGCTGCAAGTGACTCTCGCCAACTATGAATACTTTGATTTTTTTCTACACAAACAGATGCAGCGCTTAACCTCCGAAAAAAATTCGTTGGTCTTCTGGTATGCTACTCGAGCAGTTTGTTATTTTCATGCAATCAAAATTCTATATACAAAAATGACGGAGGAGACTAGTGACTATCCTGATGTTAAGAATTCAAGATTTAGCGTGTTGCATTTTTATTTTATTTACACTTGAACCTTGCTCCCTCTATTGCCGCTTAACATCGATTTCTTTCTCTTCACTATGAAAGACTCTCACATAAAGATAAGCAAAAAATGGGGGGTGATCAGTGACGATTCGAGGAATTTTTCGGCAACGGGAGACAGAAAATTTTCATCGAATAAACTAGCGAAGAAGGCCTTCAAAAAAAAATTTGGAATGCTTTCCAAATTTTTCGCGGGTCTTTACCCCAAATTACAGGTATCGTGATTATCGCTTTGCAAAAAGAATTTAAGCTGATTTGAATTTTCAAAAAAAAAACTCTAAAAAAGATTCTAATTAGTGACAAGTAAAAACAAGTCCCTGGCTCAATCCTATAACTCATATAGACCACTCTTAGGCCCGTATGCACGTACATCCCCGCGGGGAGGGGAGGGGATCTGAGAGGGGAAGCGTCATATCTCGCTAATCTATATATCTTTCTTCTTCTTTCTCTGTCCTGCTTTTGAAGGTTCTCATACACTGATACTTGCACATAATCTATGCCAGGTTATTGCCATACAAGACTGGATATTCACTATTTCGTCTGATCCCCTGGGGATCCCCAGGGGATCACCTCACATTTTCAAAGTCATTTATCTTCCTGAAAACTCAATGAAAATGCTCTAAAATTGTACTGGGATCTACTACAGCACTGCTAAACATGCCTATGGTAGAATTGAGTGAAATCTCAAAGAATCAAAATTTTCGATGAACCGCTGCTCGCGAGCCAGGGATTATCAAAAAAATCAAAATCTTCGGATTCCATTTCTTCTGTCGAAAATATGCTCAGCAGTATCGTAGTATATCTGCAGTGCAATTTTGCAACGTTTTCATTGATTTTTAAGGAAGATAAATGACTTTGAAAATGTGAGATGATCCCCTGGGGATCCCCAGGGGATCAGACGAAATAGTGAATATCCAATCTTGTATGGCAGGAACCTGGCATCCATTATGCGCAGGTATCAGTGTATGAGAAACTTCAAAAGCAGGACAGAGAAAGAAGAAGAAAGATATATAGACTAGCGAGATACGGCGCTTCCCCTCTCAGATCCGCTCCCCTCCCCGCGGGGATGTACGTGCATACGGGCCTTAAAAAGTCGCGATCCATTCTCGGGTACCCCTCCCCCTTTACTGGTCTATACGAATAAGTTTATAAGTTCTCTTTCATTCCGCTTTTAGAAACTTTGGCGTCCCACAAATAAAAAACAGTCGCCACGCGATTTCTCATAGTTCCAGATGTTATAGGAACACGCACTCCTTTGTTTATACAGCACTTGCAGCGTTTCGTCAAAACACGAAATCGGTGCACCATGCAGTCGAAAACCGCATGCCACAGATCTGCTAACAATTGGCACTTGGCCAAACCGCACTGCGAATGAAATTTGGGGGGGGGCACGCTAAAAGCCATGGGGTAGGCTGTCATAGAATGAACGAAGAAAGGGGAGGAAATCGTATCTGGATCCCTGTGCCGAGCATCTTGTCTGATACTGCACACGAAGTAATGAGAAATGAATGATTTGGTTTTACAGTAATCAGCAATCACCAATAATTCATGATCTTTCATGAAATTGTAATGTGCCATATATTAGGGTGTCTCATAATTTTTTACCGTCTTCACTACAACCGTCGCTTTTTGTATCTTTCCTTCAATTGATGCGACTTGAGTAATCATTGGACAAAGCAAAGCAAGCTGTACAAGATGGCTATCACGTGTCCGCACAAAGCGTATTCCACATGAAGTTTTGAGCTGAATTTTGATAGAATCAAGACAAACTTCTCCGTAAAAAATCGTATCTTGGCCCCAAAAGCCCTCAAAAAGTCCCCATTAATGCTAGCACATGCTTGACACATCGAGCATTCAAGTGCACACTTTCCGCATTTTTTCCATGGCTAGAAATGAAGAAAAACATGAATGGAGTAAAACGGCAAACTCCGCCCCTAGACGTCCTGAGCTCCTCCCACGCACGCGGTTATATAGCTCATGCATACATGCAGAAGTACGATCATGTATTTATACCCTTTATAGATGCCCCAGTTCTCGAGAAAGACTGATGTCTAGGGTAAAAACGGTAAAAAAATTATGAGACACCCTGATAGACTGGTGATCCGCTGATGTTTTGTCTAATTCAGTATGCCAAACTTGCAGAATTCACAAATCTGTAAACATCACGCAGGCGCTATAATCCATGCAACTACCCCCCCCCCTTCCCTCCCTCCCGCTTTATTACTGTGTTTACTTCCACTGTCACAGTATTTAGATAATTACTACGTAAAGTAGTCCACGCTGCGTTGCTGCAAGAAAAACGCGGTAATGATAATTTTTCTATGACATTATCATAAATTTTTTTGCATTTTCATGCGAAAGTGAGGCTCGCACTGATGTACAATCTACTGCTATGTAGGAAATTTCCAAACTATTTTCGGCTAGTAAGCTCCACCGGTTTTTTTACGACCAACAATCAAAATTGAAGTGTCGTTTCCGGATTGTTATTTACGGATTGTCATTGCACAATGAAGAGTTGCCGAATAAATTATCAATGTAAAGCGCAAATCTCCTTCTATGTTTTAAATACAAAACCATGATTTTTTATGATTAGAGAAGTCAAATTGGTCGAATTACGAAAAAAAACTTTGCATCCACTTGACAACCTCATTCTTGTACAAAATTCAAGTTGGCTTCGCAAACCAGTTTCTGAAGAGGTTTCAGGATTTGCAAAGGCCTTGAGCAAACCAAAAAAATTTTGGAGCGTTGTTCTGAAAGATTTTTCCACTACTTGCACTCATACACTAGTGTAGGACAAAATCTTTAGAGTGGCGATCCTTACCGAGAAAACAGCACGCTTTGCTTAAAACAGAGCTGAACACTTTCGCATACAAATTTCCAGCATGTTTGCTAATGCTCGCATTTGTCACAGTACTAAAATTCGATCTTGCTCCAGTTTACAAATCAGAGCACCATTTAGAATCCAACGTATCTTGCGTTCAATCTTGACTGCTTTCACGATGCGAACTATTAGGTTGGCACATAAGTTTTGCAACTTTTCCCGTAACTTTTTTCCTATTTTATGTAGCAATCTCATTTTGTGGCATCATGTAGATCGTGATGTAAGCTGCAAGTCTGCGCAAACCTTTTGATTTTTGATAACGTAGTACAAAAAATCTAAGCATTTTTTGAAAAATGCTGAAAATCGAGGTTTCACGATTTTTTGGCAAACATGAAGCCCTACGAAACCTGATTCAAACATATGAAAAAGCAATTATAGGCAGCATGTAGCTGGAAGTTGGCACATTGGAATCAGTGAAAAAGAAATGAAATTCAAACACAAAATTAAGGTGGGGCGTCTTTGAGAAGTTGAACAAGTCAAATGCGTCAAGTTTTGAAGGCAATTTGTCAATAACTAAGCTGCGAAAAGTCAGAATTCGCTATAACTTTGCACTATAGGGTAATCCTATGCGGTAAACACGAATATCATATTCATTTGTCGCTAAAATGAAATTCAAATTTGATTCAAATTTTCAAAATTCAAATTTTTGATCTCACGAACGAGGTCTTTTCATGCGAAACGGATCTCATTTTTGTGATCAGCATGTCAAATAAGCCCTATAGGCCAAGTTTTAGCAAAATCTGATGCATTCTAAAAATTTTCCCATAGTAGCATAAACCTACCGTAATCCTCACATAAGATGGTAAAATTCGGCGAAAATGTGTGCATTAGAAGCTTACATCATATTCCTTATATTGCCAAAAAATGAATGCGCTACGTTCAAACAGACAAAAGTTATATAAAAAGTTGCATTACTTATGTGCCAACCTAATATTTTCTCTTCTTAAAAAAACGCATTTCACCCCGGAATTCTCATGAAACCATGAAAAATTAAGAAACAAAATATCACTAGTGTTATGCTTTGTTCAGCCCTTGCCCGGTACCGGTGGCAACTACACGGGTCTCCTCATCCAGAATCTCTTCGTTGACTTTGAATAGGTCGGCTGATCTCTTCGCATCCACTTCCACTGACGACGGATTTGTCACTATAGGCACCGTCGATGCAGAAAATGGAGCATTTGGTAATCAGAAGCTGCCTGAAATAATCATGAAATTAGTAAATTTCAGGGGAGTCTACTGTTGAGCTCAAGTGCTCAAAGCGACCTCTGTGTGCACTATTTATGGATGACCAGCGAACAAAACAAAGTTTGGTGCTGGTTGGATCCTCGTCAGGCATCCATATAGTGGATGCACAAAGCGGAGCAATATTTCGATTTCTAACCAGCAAAGGTAAATTTTCATTCCTAAATAGGAGAAGATGTTACTTGGGACTTAAAAAGTAACCTTTGATTCAACTGGCTTAGCGGCTGGAAGGCGGGGCTTCGTAACCTAGTTAAGGCCGCTAGCGCCCGCGACGCGGTTTCTTTCGCGCGCGTGCTCTCTGATCATTACCTAGCCTTGATCGCCCCGCCTTCCAGCAAAGAGTGGTTACTATTCTCAAGCGATTCATGCAAAGAAGTTCGACTGTGGTTGTCATGATAGTTTGTACTCCCACTTTGTGCGGCGATTACATTGCATGCTTCAAACTACAGTATCTCAATCACTGTTTCGCAGAAAACTTCGGAAATGCCCAAAGCTTTTTATGGAACAGAGCAAAAATATTCCTTAGGTCTCAACGATAGAGATACTGTAGATATCTTCTTGGTCTGTATGGTGGCGAGCCCCAGCAAGAGGAATATGTGTCGATACAGAGTATAGGGAATTTGAAAAATCGTGACGAACACGAGACCTCGCGCGACACGCACGCGCTTCGGGCAACTCCATTTTCATGATTTTCGTCCTTACTTGGATGGTTTTTCTGCTTACATATAATAGTATTCGGACAATGGAAGTGACTGAGCGAGTGTTTGTGCTCCTTTGGACGCAAAGACCGTAGTCAAATCCGTCGCCACGATTTTATAAATGACCTATATGTGATGGTGGTCTCCGGTGACAAGAGAGTGAGCAAAGGCATTGCTACGCTACAACAGATTTTGGACATTGCGAAGAAGTCGGGGTCTCTTCTTCATCCGTGCGGAATTCGACAATAGCAGAGGTCCCTCCGAAACACTCCAAACGTCTTTTTTTGCCTGCTTTCAAAGTACTCACTCAAGATTTTTCGAAAACCTTCCTGCAAATATCTTTTGCTGCCACCTCTTGCTATCAGTTGCTCTAGATGAGCTGCTCAGGATCCCGCTACAATTCTTCTCTTCTCTAATTGATTTTTGGTAATCTTTATAAGGCACTGTAAATTTCGCACGGTCATGGATACGCAATCTATGTCGACTCGCAAATCTTTTGAAACGGTGTTGCAGACGTTCGCTGGATTCTTTGCGACGATGGGGTGAACTTGATTCAGGTCCTTTCAGCTTGTTTTGATGGAACTACTTCTTCCCTTTTGCGAACGGACCATGACAGAAGCTACTGCAGAAAGATGCTTCTACGGAGTCATCAATCGGAATTCGCTTTTATCCCATAAAAAGTGATGTCCATCGGCGTTTTTTTTTCTCCATGGAAATGGAGTTCTAGCGGAAATTAGAGACGGAAAGAAGCTTACAGTTACACATATGGGTTATGCTTAGGTTGGGAATCTGGCCGAATTTGGTGAAGTCGGAGGCAAAAAATCCTACTCTTCGGGGCTTTGAAGATTCTGCTAAAGGACGATTCCCGCTGTACAATACAATTTGCCAGTCATCGTTTCCAAGTACTCTAATTCACGTTGTGGCTCCAGTCCATAGGGAAATTCAACTTTTTGATTATAAAGTTGTGATTGGAAGTAGGATTACCAATGCGTCGACCAAAATAGATCTGAAATGCGAGCGTGACACTTCTGTTGATCCAAGTTTTCGGAGTTCTTAAAGGTTCAACGCACAGTTCTCATATTTTATTAGCTCATAGTAGATTTGAAAAATTTGTATAAACCCAACAGGCGGTGCCACATCACTCTACTCATGGCTGGGATGCATGGTGGCTGCAGGAGAAAACCGAGGTGGAGTGACACTGTGGGATGCCAGAGTAGACGATGCGGTGGCGCATTTTTCTACAAATCCACCAGGTCCTAGTCCACCAAGTAAGCTTTTGCTATAAATATGCTAACAAATATGTTTGATGCGGTTTTGCAGAACGTTCGGTGTTTGCTGTAGACGGAGCCGCCCGAGTGCTCGCCTTAGCAGGCGAATCTGGCACGGTACATCTATTCGACATTGCTGCAAGAAAGGAAATAGTCAGCAAGAAAATCTGTCCTACTGACGTTAAAGTAATAAGTTTCTCTCCAAAAATGCGGCTACTCTTAGCTGCTGATGTACAAAGGTGAGAACTTTGAATTCTTCATAAAATCAGGTAATATCTATGCTTTTTAGACTTCGAATGATCAACCTCAGTGATATAACGCTCACTCCTTTTCCGCCACCGACGCATAGTATCCTAACTCTCCAGTCCGTGACTGGCACAATGTGAGTTCTATTGATATGATGATTTTGGGCTAAAATAGGGTATGCAAGAGCTTTTATTGGATTGACTAAAAAGTAAATTCGTTTTGGCATGCAAATCTTCATTACAAAATTTCTTGTTTACCAATAATTTTTTGTGTAAAGGTAGTTCAAAGCTTTCTCTATCAGATATCAGATATTTTGCATTTTCTATCAACAGTAAAAACAGTTATGTCATAACATGGCTAAATTTCCAGAAAGCTCAATTCTTTAACTTCCTAAGCTTCGTTTTCATGGCGTAATGGATGTAGAAAATAGCATTTCGACTTGGAAACAGAGGATTTCCCTATTTAGTGAACAACAATGAAAATTGTGATTTGCCAGTTTGAAATCCCTATCAAAATAACCAAGTTTCCTCATATTCACTATGAGAAAATTGGGGATCTCTCACTTCTCTGTGGATTTTCTCCCTTGAAAGATAAGTTCTACTTAAACGCAGTTAACCAATTCGGGCCAAACTGGACAAAAATTTGTCTGTAGCATTTGTAGGAGCCGCAAGCGACCGAACTTATTTATAAGCCAACCTAATATTTCCTTACCAACTGTCACAATGTCACAAGAGCAACATCCGAGCTCCTATAATTCCAGAATATAAGAGTGACAGATTTTATATTGTTAGAGCTACTACTATGGTACAATAAGTGAGCTTGTGTTGACTTAGTGTAGTTAATCCAGAGAGTGAGCCTGAAATTTTTTCATACTGACATAACCGTGTTTTGAAATGGGTAACATAATACAGGGTGTCCCAAAAGTAAGTACACACTTTTCAATCGTTAATATCTCTCTTACCATTGTGTCTTTTTCCGCCATTTGAGTACCTTTCTGTAGTGGAGGCTTCAACTTAGATATACACTGTCAAGCGAATTACCAACCTCTCTTCATTACTGTAGGATTGCTGTAGGAACTTGGACAAGGATTTTAGGCCATTGGAAGCCGTATTCTGCCTCGGAACAAGACCGAACAAGCCAAAATCTCCTATACTATGGTAATGGGAAGCCGGTGATTTCGAATATGAAATTTCCGCTTTACTGTGAAGCTTCTTTCCAAAGTTTCCCAGGTAAACAGTAATGACCGAATTCCCAGTATTCGTTAGAAATGTGATTACACGGTCAAAAAGCTGCAAACACTCGTAAAAAGTTGTGTAGTGGAATTAGCGTGCGCGAAAACCCTAGTACACGATTTTTCAGATTTGTTGAAAAAGATTTTGTCAGATGGCATATCTCACAATGGCTCCACATGGTGGAAGTTCTTAGCGTGATCCTACAGTAACGAAGAGAGATCGGTGATTCGATCGATATTGTAAATCTAAGTTGAAGCCTCTTCTACAGAATGGTACTTGACTGGGAGAAAAAGACCCATCGGGAAGAGAGGTATTGACGATTGAAAAGTGTGTACTTTTTTTGGGACACCTTGTTATATTAGGTTGGCCCGAAAGTTCTTTCGCACCATTTTCAAAAATTCATAACTCCCCGTTCTTTCAGCCGATTTGCATGCTTTTATTTTTGTATGAAGGAGTAAGTCATGCTCTTTATAATGACACCTTAGCTGTTTGCTAATGGTCATCCGTTGCATAGATAGGAGCGATAGAAGAAAAGTGGTCAAAATTCGAATTTTTCGTGTAGGGTCATAAAAAATCGGAAACTTGCCACAAAAATCGGAGCAGTCAGTATTGTAGCTTCTTTCACAAGCTCTTTCTAAAAGTGCAAAGTTTGCGCTGATTGAGCGTCTCTATGAAAAATTACGATTTTCGAGCAAGCAATACAAAAGGGCGAAATTGATTTATTTTGGCATTTTTCAGGGAAATCGTAACTTTTCATAGAGACGCTCAATCGGCGCAAGCTTTGCACTGTTGGTAAGAGCTTGTGAAAGAACCTACAATACTGACTGCTTCGATTTTTGTTGCAAGTTTCCGATTTTTTATGACCCTCTATGCAACGGATGACCATTAGCAAACATCTATGGTGTCATTACAGAGAGCATGACTTACACTTTCATATAAAAATAAGAGCATGCAAATCGGCTGAAAGAACGGGGAGTTATGAATTTTTGAAAACGGTGCGAAAGAACTTTCGGGCCAACCTAATACTTAGCTACTAAAAAAGTTATCTCGGAGCCAGTTGTCTCATTTGATAAGCGCTGTTGTGTAAAGGTTTTTCGAAAAGAGAGAAAAAGAAGAGTCAGAATAAGAGCGAAAATGAGCCGCCACGCGCGACAGACACGAATAAGTAACAATAATAGCAATAAACATTATGCTGATCAATTGCAAAATCCCTGAAATATAGACTAATAGTAAGAAATGACAAACTTATAGGTGGGATCCGACAACTTGTCGATTTGTGGTGAGAGGAACTGACAAATTACTCCGCTTATTTCGATTGGATGACGCCGATAGTGAAGGAAGTTGAGAAAACTATCTTTCAATTGCTACAACTCTCTATCCTGCTCAAAAAGTATCATTGTTGCAATAGCTTTACTTAAATGCTGAATACTGTGCTTTCTTGCCTTATCGGTGCATCCTCACCATTATAACTTTATCAGAAACCGTTAGTAATTCGTCTTTATTCCGTTTGATTTGTTGGTTCATACGTGATTTGTCTGTTGGGTAACTTGTTACATCTTGTATTCAATAAAGAAGATAAGTAGAAATTGTGTATGCACTAAGATGATCACTTTTTCAGCGCTCTTTTGTAAACTTCCTACTTCTGGAATAAAATCAATTATACGACGATCTACGCAGGATGAAAATCTATTGTTGGCATCAGCATTTTGGTACAATGTAACCCTGTTTGTTGCTATTTTTGTGAAATAAATTTCATACAAATTGTCGTGAGCCAATTGTTAAAAATCTGTTGAGTTAGTTTCAACGACGGTTGGGAAACTGCGAGATTGCCGTCAAGAAATCTCTTACCAATACTTTCTTTCCTAAATCTTCACTGGTGAAATTATCAATGAGGAATTCCACAAACTTAATTTCTTGCCTATATCAACATGCGAAAGCACTCGCATAAGAGACGAGAATCATCAAAGATTTTTCTAATGAAAGCTGCAAAGCAGCTTCGGCTCGAAGAGGTCAACCAAACTATCGTCACAATGGAATTGCGGGTTGGTTTGATACATTCTTGTCTGCTTCTTCTTAGTTGAAAATTGGACAAACACTATAAAATCTATCCACATCTGGCATTGCCGTGCCTCAAGCTTTTTTCCACCATGTTGCCAGGACGAGACCCTTATGGATAATCTCAAGATGCTTTTGTTTTGATGCACTGCTGTTGATAGTGGGTGCCTAAAATTGAAGTAGATGGACATCTCTAGCCGGCTGGTATCATGTCATTTGCCAGTTTGTGGGCTGATTGCCATAACAGAATTACGCGGCGCGGATCACAAAGCCCGGTCCAATAACATGGATAATCCCATCACCGGTGCCGCAGATGCGACTTCGGCCCGCCCACTTCTGCTGCTACATCGTCATGTCGCGAAGATTACGGTAGTCATTTCTGAGAAGCAGAAATCATTGGATGGAATTCTTTTATCTATCATGTTGGCAAAGTGTCTAGAACAGAAAACGGACCAGTCGGCTCGAAGAGTCATACAGCGGCCTGTTGCTGGATGACTGAATATATAATGACACTCAAAGATCGTTAACCTTATAATGGGGTCAGGACCTCAAAGCGAGACCAAATGTCTACTTCTGCAGTTCATATTGCAAAAGCTTGCAGCACAATATCTTTTATCTCTACAATATCCCCCTTAGATGTTTCTAAAAAGCAAAAACTCTTGGCTCAATTTTACCAAGGCAAAACTCGTTGCCCATAGTTTGCTTTGTGCCCCCTCAACTACCGTAATCCTCGACGCTCAACATGCAGGAGATCCCCGAAAGTCCCAGGAGACACCGACGAAGAGCGAGTTAAGCGATCAGGACGTGTCGTTACGCCGCCACCCAACGACATTATGGCAAGTGCTGTGGCGGCCGGTCGAATGCAATTCGCCTGCCAACCTGCACCGCATCCGCATCGGATATCCAATGATCTTCTGCAAACATAGCAACAGGTGGTTCACCATTTTTGTGGGACAAAATGGTAAGATAGATAACAAGATAGTGAAAAATGTACGGAAGTTGTACAGAAGACCCGCTATAAATTAGCGCTATAAGTGGCTTGTATCGTCGTTGATTACAGAATTTAAGAAGTGAAAGCGGTCTATATAAAAGTTCATGATAAGCCGAAGGATTTCGCTGTAGCAATTGATGTCCAATTATTCAGTACATAGGATACTGATGCTTTGAAGAATAGAGCCTGCAAAGTTGATCGTTAACGGCAAAATTGCAAAATCGTTTTTGTAATATGCAAAATCCTAAGAACCATTCGAATTAATTCTTCCTTGTCTCAAAATACTTTCATGAGCCAGCCGACACTTTTCACAAGATGAAAGACCCTTAGTAATACGGCACTAACATTTTTTAATTGTAACCATGCTCACGAAACAACTTTTCAAATAATCAAATTGTTACGTGTCGTACTAACGATTTTGAATTTTTTCAACTAACTGCTGGGATAATGCTTAGGCCTCGTATACCGTAGAAGACCTCAAACATTTTTGTAAGCTGTAACATTCTACTTTGCCTTGATGTTGTAAATTGATGAACCGCAATCCTTCCACCTTTGAATGCTTAGTGTCTAGCGTGAAAAATTGAAGCCAAATTATGGAATGTTAATTATCAACATCGATCATCTCTACTACCTCAATATTCGCAATAATCAAAATTTGCCAAAAATACATGACAACATTCAAACCTTAATAGCGATCTTTGCTACGGAAGAAAACCTCGCATGAGAGGAATTTTATATATGAAATTTCACATAAAAGCATTGGGTGTCCATCGATACTTTTTTGATAGATTTTCCCTCTAGAATCCAGGTTTCCAGGAAAAATACACCGAAAACGTTCATCTCGATTGTTTGCACTGTGTATGGATGCCATCTGAGGTATCACTATTCATGCTCAAACACACAATTACTCTACTGTGCCCGCCGCCCCTATACTCCACCAGCTGTCACACAGAACGTTCGTCTAGTATACCAATACAAATGGCCATGTGTTTCATGGAAACTAAGCTCTCATTGTATTCGGTCATCCTTTTCCATCTCGTCCACTTATATGGCTTTTTATACGAAACTTTTGTTGAGAGCTTACTAAGTAACATTATCACATTTATGTGCTCTGTGAGTTTCGACTTTGCATTTGCAGTTTCTTGTAGAATTCTGTTTTTATTTGAAGAAAACCTCTCGCATCGAATTTTGCTATCGTCTTGTTGAATTCAAGAATGTTCTCCCTTGAATTAAGAACAAACGAATAGGTTTCAAATAATAAGTAAGTAACAAACGAATAATATCACTAATCCCGGTGTGCCCGAAGGACCTAAATTTTCACAAAGGCTGCAGCATTCGCCATTGAGATTTGGAGTAAAAAGGATCCCTGCTTCAAAAGCTTCTTTATAGAGGATTTATACTTCTCTTGTAGGAACACAGATGCGTTAACTTTAACATATACTTCATACATGTCACCTGCTTGAGAATAGATGGATCTACTCAGCTTTCTGACAGAAGAAAGAGCTGCAAGTAATTTTCAATGACTCCGTTTGCACCCTGATTCCTTCCTAACGTTTCTAATTCATGTTCGAAATTACATTAAATGTTTGTGATGTTCGGAGATCCTTGAGGGCATGAGGATGTGCTTGCTAGCTTTAGAAGTTTCTTCTCTACAGGGGTGTGAGCTTGACGTTTAGGTCTACCGAGTCATGAAGAAATAATTCGAAGCGAGCGAGTCCTACCTTTTGCAGCAAATTCAGGCAGCAAGCTCACCAGAGTGAGCAATAGCAATGCTCAACGTATTCCTAATCTATTCTTGATCGAAAAAGCTTTGTCTCAGTGTATTTTCCACATTATCAAGCGTTAAGTGCTTATTATTTCCGTCTAGAACTAGCATTAGCTTCGTGAAGAGTCGCGGCTTTCGATCCGTAATTGTTGACGTTGCCATGTGATTGGCTCAATTGGTGCGGTGGGCGGGATAAAGCTGCCAAACCCAGCCAATACGGTAGACGACATCAGTCACGACGTCTGCGTGCTCGCTGGTGTAGGCTTCTTCATAATCTCAGGAAGACGTTTGGGTCCAAGCAGAGCTTAAGAAAGTACTACACTGCTGTTGTGGAACTTTCTACGATATTTTGATCTACCAAATAATTCTCATCTATCGCTTTTCCCCGCCTTCTATCACTATAACTTGTTGTGAAGAAGTAGTTATGATTTTGATTTCCTATTGTTTACGCATAATTCTTCAGTCGTAAATCAACCGATTAAGGATCGCAACAGGCTACAACATCCTCTTCTATTTTAGCTGCATCTGTATAATTCTCCTCCTGGCGCATATATGATGAGCGATGAGGATGAACCTTTAAACTTCTCCGCATCACATCTTTCTCAAGCTGGTAAGGACATTACGCTCTTCGAATTTCAATCGTAATCGAAATTCTGTGAGCAGCAGTTAAAGTGCTTGACATCAGATTCGTAATTCATTGAGTACGAAACACATTTCTGGAATGATAGTGTGATCGAAAGATGTCAAAAGCAGGAGGCACACGCGTCAAATGCCATTGCCACCTAATCCCATGGTTTTGTCACTGCCACGCTAATTGAGTGATGCCGATGCCTCGGAAATTGCCCGATGCTCACACCTCACAAATCCCGACGCCATTGCTGTCGTAGGCGCTTGACCAGTAGTCACTCATAGTAATTTAACGAAGTTCGAGCATCTGATTATACGGATTTGCAATAATTTCTGTGCCTACCGGTCATTTTCTGAATTTTTGTTTCTTCAAATTTTAACTTCTACGTTAAGCAGGCTATTCGTAATTTCGACCTTCCATCTTAAGCGTAACTATGCCGAGATCAGAAGAAATTCGCATTTTTGTTTTTTCTGTTGCTGGAGGAAAATAAACACAAGAAGGAATTGTTAGAAGTGATTTTCTTCCCGCTAAAGTGACCCGGGATGAGATTTTGCCGTTGCGAATTTGTTAAAATGATTAGCCTCTAATGAAGTAACACTAAAATTGCTAGTTACTCGTACTTAGTAGCTACTCGAAGTTCACAGCATTTGGTGCTTACGCCCATATAAATATGATTGAACTTCGACTTGTACGAAATTTTTGCTACTTATAGTCATTTTTGCACTTTTAAAATTGCCACATTTTCCTGTGAATGCGAGAAGAAAACTGCTTCAGATGACATGAAACAAGAAGTTTCTATGGAAGATCGCTTAATGGGTCTTCGATCAATCTTCCATGGACCGGTGCTTTTTCCAAATACTCTCATGAATTCAGGTTTGTCCCCTTTTCATTTGAAGTGATCGTCTGATTAATTTCTCTTAGGTGGAATGATTCCACCTCATATTGCTGCAGCCGTTGCTTTGTCGATGAATCATCGAATGGCACAAACAAGGTAAGAGAAAAGCTCAAGCCAAATTCTGAGATTCCCTGCTCTTCATCATCTTCATTGTACTGAGATTCGCAAAATATGAACTCAATTTGAACCTACTTACTGCGTCAATCAGACACAAGCTTGTGACGCAATAATTTCACATATTACGCAAATTTTACTGTCTGTTATTGCAGACTTTTGTATTAGTTCACGAGTTCATAACAATTAATAAGT